ATTAAATTAATTAACTAATCCATATATCCATGTCAATACCAATACCACTTCATTTAAATAAATATTATTAACCTAAGTTTGAAGCTGACCCAAGGTATTGGTAACACCTAACCGACCTGCCTCTTTAGACTTTATTATTGATGGCTTTGTTTCGCTCTCGTACAACGGCCGGTAATTAGACCTTCCCTTCGATCTGCACCACTCATTGTTTACCCATTGTTTGGGTCTTGTTGTATGTATACAGTTGGAAACTTGGGGACTACCGTATCCTATCTTTAGAATTATTGTTATATGTAGCACGGGATGTTAGTTTTGAAGATTGATTCAAAGCTTACAGTTGTTACCGTTTTGTCGTATTTGAACCAATCAAAATCTTATCGAGCATGGTCTTTTGGAACCAGTAGTATTGATCCTCACTAAGTAGGCTTATTATGGGATCATGATCATTTGAATCCCGAGAAAAGTAGCATGGCCTTTGTGTGCCTGGTGACGTTAGATGTGTTGTGCGGCACATGGAATTATATGCCAGTTCTCCTTGTTTTTTTAATGCTGTACCCGATCTAATCGGTTGAATTGGGTACTTAAGCCTCAAAAAGTATGCCTAATAAAGCAATGGAAGGCGATTATAGGACCTAATTGGATGCCAATTTTAGCGAAACATCAACGTCAGAGGAAGGTGGTACTTTGATACTTGTTGGAAACTTTATGTACTGATGAGAACTTGCCATCCATTCATTTCTCGAAATGTCTCCTCCTGTCGGCATTTGATGTCGGCATTAATTTGATAAAATTTGATTTGGTCTCACGCTCCCCTATTCTGATGTACCGCCAGTCTTTGAAATCGGCAATTCAAACCCTCCCGGGTTATTCGGCAAGCACGTCGATAGTATTGTTGACTGGCCTTATCGTTTGACTTCGTGGTACCCATGAAGGCCCAAGCTACTTCTCCATAATATCTACATTGAGGAGTCTCCGTAGATGTTTTGGTTGGTCCCAGACTCGGCGCTTGTCCTTGCAGACGAGAGGCACAGTCGGGTGTCTACCAGTTCTTTGGATGATTTCTAGGTATATCCCATCGACATGGATGGATTGGATCGTTACAAGTACAGAGCCATACTTCTGCTAACCACCGCGCTTATCCGTTGAAGTAAATTTGTCATTGCTGACTCGGTTGGCTCTCACGGAGATACTGTATCATATTTTACACACCAACGAGCCGTTGGAATCTCCATGGACTTTGAAAGATCGTGTTCTGGAATAAAACTTGATGATTGCCCGAAAGGGTCGTATTTGGGAGGCATCAAGCAGTATGGGGAGGTGGTCATGCTGCGGCCCGTCTGCGGCACTGTGTAGAGAGGGATGCAGTCGGATCCGAATCAGGAAACATATATAAGTCTCGTCCAGCTTTCATTAGGGAAAAGAAGTTGGATTGTGTAATTCATTCGAGTATTTTGTAAGTTGTAACTACCGGTATACCAGGGTATCAAGTTTACCGGAATGAAATGGTTGCTTTTTTGGTAAAGAAGTAGAGCCTCTGCAGCTAAAACTCGGCATCTGTAATAGCCTGAGTGCAATCTCACCGTTGGCGTTTTTAGTGATGTTGTGGCTTGAGATCATCATGAGAACCCCCCTGAAGCGCGGCTCTTTTCTTTCTTACGCTTGCATCTTCTTGTTCTTTTGCTCGCTTCTAGTTGAAGCCAGACTCAATATACTCATGATCAGCCGGGAGCTAATGGGTACGAAGTTTTGAGTATCTCGGTGGGTCAGTCAAACAAACGTTCTTTGACTACTTTTCATTGTGAATCGAATCTATCTCCGTACTGTATCCGTAGAGATTTGAACAAGACTCAAATGGGTTGGAGGCCGATCGGAGTATATCCCTGATCGGGGGGAAACACATCACCTGCATAAATTAATAAGTTATCGAAACGTTACCTTGGGATGGGACCATACTTGAGACGATAGATCATAGAAAGTAGACTTTAGACAGGGCGATCAGGACTCATCGCTTGAAACTTTTGATATGATATAACTTGTGTAGATGTCGGTGATTATGAGAGTCGTGATCTAGACTGATCACACGGTTCACACCCAAATACAAGGACGATCTTTCACAATGTCTCTTGTAAATTTGGAGATCCTGCGTACCCGTGCCTACTTCAAATTCTGAATTTTGAATTTTGAATTTTGAAACTATGATGGATGATGTTAACTGATGAACTGATAATTAATCATATGTGTAACAAGACCCGTGCTTGACAATAGAGGAAAGGTTGTACAATGACGACAAAAAGGAGGGCAATCGGCGACCAATGCCGAGTTGTGGTACTATGATGAAGAGAATGTAATGATAATGATTGGCTATGGAGAGGAGATAGGCTGTACGAGTAGAGATTCTCGAGAAGTCGAGAGTATGAAACACTTCCCTCATCTAGGTAGGTCATCTCATTCATACCTTCCTAAATATTTCCCAGTCGTCCGGGACCGAGCGTTGTGAGTACCGAGCAACGACGATAGAAGGGAACGGAGCTGGAGATGAGCCTGACTGAATTTGTTGTACTGTACATCATTCATAACGAATCATATCATGAACGTCGTATAAGACCAACCAACCGTTCTAGTTGTTGTTGGTGGATTCGTCACGTAAACCCCAAAACCCGCAGGTGGTACGATTTGCTTGGATGATTGGCCATTCCAAGACTATATCAACAAAATATATTGCCTATATTGGATAAGCCCATATTCATGAATCCACCAGAATCCTTCAACCACGGCCTTTTCCGGTTGCAGAGGTTCTCGTTCTCGTTTAATATATCCGTATATGAAGAAATCCCAACTTCTACGCCTGAGAGTAATAAGCAAACCTTGGCGATTTGCCCAAAGAAGTATCCATATTCTAGCTACCGGCAGGTATGTTGATCTATATTGATGTAACGGCCGTAAGAATTTTGATAGTGTTCCGATTTCCCGCATCGTAGAAGCACAGGTAGAAGAAATATATGGGGATTTGTAGCGGCGGAATAAGGACAATGCTTCCCCCCTTATGGATACAAGAAATATATACCTAGGAACAAACACTAATTTCGCATTCGCTTGCATTTTCTACTTCAAAAAATATATGACTGAAAGTGGATGACTATTAACAGACTGCAAATTTATGGAGACGGCAGTGGGCAGTGGCAGCTTTTCTGGAGATCAAGCCGTGCAAACTGCAAACCGCAAAACCAAATGATACGCAAAAATTACTGTATGGGTGTACAGTACCACTTATAGTTAGTTACTAGTGATTACGGGAGAATGCTTGCGTCGAAGCGAGAAATAGATTGTCAAATACTTTATTATTACTTCAATATTGAATATTGACCCTCCCCTGTATACCGATATATATCGTTCGGTATTTGTTTACTGGTCCTTGAGAAGTGTGTCAGACCTCTTACAGTACCATTTTAGATGGAAGATTGAAGGGATGCCGGCGCCAGTCGCCCAAAGTGTCGAGTACAACTTACTAGAAGCCACTAATTGACTCAATTTTCTTTCAATAGCCGACACTTAATAACATGAACAATGAGCTACTGTACCAACCGTGACACAAGACGCTAACAATCTTATCAATAACTGAACAGCCAACTTTGTGGTCAAGTGGGCGGGCACGATCCTTTCGTAGTTTTTGGGGTAAGTCTATTTTGGTGTACCTAGTAACTATTCCTGGTTGGTCTCTTCCTTCACCCCTCGCTTGAATCTCTTTCCTTCCTCCCCTCCATAGATTGATTGTTTGGGTTTGCGAGCTGGCCTTTTCATCATACCTTGCCATGCCACGCTTTATTCCCTGTCATACCCACCACTCCCCGGTTCTTAACAACAAGAAAAGCATCTACGGAGCAGAGTCAGAAATATTTGAAGGAGCTTGGTGCAGAACATGGCACCAAACACTGGCAGACAGCAAAACAGAACAAATTAATAAAAGCCATATCTACTACTGGACAGTCTTTCAGATCTCATGTCTGAGGGAGGTGCCTTCGGGTAGGAGAGAGCCCACGATCATTGTAGAGATAGGTTGGTTACCCCACAACTTCATATTTTTGATCGCTTCAATTTGACTTTTCTATATCTTAATATCTTATTAGCTTTGCTCTTATGCCGAAGATTGAAAAAGTGGAGTCATTATACAGTACGGCAGCTGTTCTGTTGACTGCTGTACTTAGTCTACTCCTACTAGGAACACTCTGGTACCTTCACAGTTAGTTCACAAGTTATTAGTTCACACCCCGATTGCCGGTACAATTCCCACATTTACCCCCTCAGTCCAAGAAGAACTAATAAGATAGGCTGTGTTAGTTATGTTAGTTAGATTTATGGAAATCTTATTAGAGTTCGACTTTCCCAACCCATAACTCCCTCCGTACAGTACACTTTTACATAAAGGCCCGCTGCTCAAACAATCCCTTGCTCATTTATCTCATCCTAACCGGCTTTTTGAAGTGCATGTTCCTTCTGCGTCTACTAGGTTTTGCATCCTTGAACTCGAACTCCATCTATCTATCCTGCTTCGAAAATCAGCCATCCACTTAAGCATATATCGACCAGCCTCGCACAAGCTTCTGCTTCCAGAATAATGGGTTTGTCCGAACTTATGGTCACAGCATGAGCCACACTTTCAATCTTCCATTACCGACAGGATTCATTGATATCAATATACCTATCACATCTCAACTTTCCATTCGGGTCCTCCTCGTGTCATAGTTACACTTAGTGCTTCCTCACAATACCCACGATTTCTTCCAATCACTGTCCCTACCGTTCGAATTAAGATTGGCGGCACTTCGTTGCGACTACCGTTTTGAACAGCGCTCAAGTACCCACACTCGAGGTCAGCTGAATTTGTCCAGTATTGAAGCAATTACAATACGCCTGAAAGATTTGACACAAATCGTGTCTGTGCCACATTATTACGTTCAAGGTAGACATCAATACCGTCCTTGTACAGATCCTAAAGACCAACCATGTCTTCATTTATTCCAATGCCACCCTTCAAAAAATCGATACACTCTCGAACACCCTCCCCTTCGTACGAATCCCTGAACACCTTCAAAGATTGCAAATCTCCTCATATCGTTTCTGAGCAACGAGGGAATCATTTGCGCAAGAGAAGTGAGAACACTTTATTACCGCCGCGGTCCCCTACTTCTGATCAATCAAAAGAACTTTTTGATCAAGGAAGGAGAGGTGACATGTACCAATTCGTTGGCTCTGCTCCTCGAGAGCAGCTTCCATCAATAAATAGTCTTCTTGGTAGTGCACTACCTCCAAGTAGACCTGCGCAATCACCGTACTCTGACCGGCAGAGCCCGGTCTTCCCATCTATGTCCCCTCAAGATGGTCGACTGCCTGCTACATCTATACACCCAGATCGTCCTTTCGATGCAAACTTTCAACGTCCATCAGTCTCACTATATTCTTTACATAGCTCACGATCAGATACGCTTGGCCGGCTAGGGCTAGATTATCCTGCCCCATTCACACGCATCGTACCTACTACCTTAGGACCTACGCCAGAACCCCCTGGATACGCATCGCCATTTTCGCATCATGACTCACGACATAGTCAAGTTCCTTCGGGTAACAATTGGTCGCCTCATTCTGATTCTACTCGACAGGAACCTTCCCCAGCTTTGAGAGCCCAGCCTGACCTGTATCGACATCAATCTCATATTTCTAGATCTGATCACGAATCGAGGCAATTGTATCGCGATCATGCTTCAGCTACAGAGAGCTACCTTTCAACGCCTGCTGGCATTGTAACGGGCGAGCCTGTGACGGGCAAGGATGGGTTGGGGCCGAAGATCTGGACAGGAAATCAATTCTTACCTCGTTTCGTCAAGAAAGCCGATGTTGCGGGTGATGGGCTGTGTTATTTTTACGACGATGGAACTCATTGCAAGACAGTCATTGATGGAGAAGTTGTAAATGCCCATTGGGGAGTTACCAAGGCGGGGAAGCCAAGAAAGAGACTTGCGATTGCGTGTATCACATGTAGGGAGAAGAAGATAAAATGCGATCCCGACTATCCTAGATGTGTGCAGTGCGAGAAGTTTGGCAGGGTGTGCAAGTTTAAGAATGCGTAAGTCACAATAAACAAGGAATATGGATGCCATTTATGCAAATATAATCGCCTACCCCTCAATGACATGCCGCTGTTGCTAACTTTGGTTTACCAACAGTCCCCGAGGAGGCCAGAGCTCTCCAGATACACCGCCAGCTGACTCAGAAGATAGCCTACATAGACCAAGCTCTTCTTTGACTGACGATGAATCTTTCCGAGTTGAGGGGCGTGAAGTGAGCCATTCTGTATCCCCGGGACAAGTCCTACGCCGTGCAAGTCCGGAACCAGAGTATAACAAACGAAAGCGCAGCGGCTATAATGATTACACTCCTGTAGCTTCAGAAGCCTCCCCACGACTCTCTGTTCAAGATACAGATCCTTCAAACACCCCTTGGGTTGAGGCACCAGTTACTCGATCGACTGACCATACCCTACAGTCAGACTGGCAGATTGACCCGTTCTTTTCTAAGACAGATCTTTCCAACGAGCTTTTGGCGGCGTTCTTTAAATATGTTCCAGAGACGGCTTATTGCATGTTTCCGAAAACTAAGTTCACCAGTTGGGCTCGTTCTACTCGCGAGAAGTCTTTAAATGACCTCATGCTCATATATTCTATCCTTGCTCTTGGAGCAGGTTTCTCACCGAAGTCTGAACACAAACATCTGGGTGCACGCTATGCCGAGATCGCAAGATACGCATGCGACAATCGTCGAGTTTGCATCCAGCTGGTTCAAGCTCGTTTGATACTGGCTCTGTACTACTTTGCAATCAACAATTCCAGCTATTCTTGGGATTTCTGTGGGTCTGCAGTCAGGGCTGCTGCTGGGTTGAAGTTGAATATAGAGATAGAGAAGAGCGACGATGCTTACCTTAGCACATTTCCCTTTGGACTTGACTCGCGCGGATATGCGGAGTGCAGAAGACGAACCTTTTGGAGCTGTTATATTATGGACAGGTTCAATGGATATGGTTCCGGCCACCTGAGCATGGTTGACCCCAAACACGTATATCTCCGCTTACCTTGCGATGAGCACAGTTTCGAGAATCAGGTCGACTTCAAGAACCCTCTTTTTGATGCATCGATTTCGATGTCTCTAAACTATCCGCGGACTTTGGGCAGCATGGCATATCTGATAAACATATCAACAATATGGGGCGATGTCATGTCCAACATATACAGCAATTCACAACGACCACAGCCAGCGAGATCTTCTGAGTTTACAGATTTCTATCAATCTACCATGGATCGCATCTCGATGTGGAAAAGTTCCTTGCCAAATCGCTATGACTTCTCAGCAGCAGCATTGGAAAGGATATCTGATCCTGGAGAGCTGGGGAGTTATATAACGCTGCATGCAGTGTATCAAACAACACTCATGAAACTTAATCGATATGTCCAGCCTTACCGTTTTGACAGCGTACAACTTCGCGGTTTCGTTCACAAAGCCGAGGAGCACGCGAGATCTCTTTTAATGATTATGGACATGGTGGCCAATCGACGCGCGTCTACTGACACGAGATCGCCAAGCTCACATGTTCACATTGAATTCTCTTCACCATTCGTGGGAGATGCCATTATCTCTGCCGTCGACATTCTCTCGGCCAAATCAAGTAAAGCTTCAGTACCTGAAATCATCAACTCCTTCTCCGGTGCACGGTCAGTTATCGCCGAAATTGCACAGTTTTGGCAGACGGCAAAGGCACAACAACAGCTCATCTCGCAACGTGTGGGTGACTTGACTGAGATCGATCGTAGCAACTGGTCGTCCCCTGCTACAGAATCGAGCAGTAAATGGTTTGAGATGAGAGAAGCGTTGGAGAAAACCTTCTCCCGTGAAAATGATTGCATTTATCAATGAGTGCATATGGAGTATAGTTTTTGTATATTATATTATATTGTTTTTGATGCTTTTACGGAGATACCAAGAGGCGTTTGGGAATGGTGCATTTGCATTCTGCATGTTTTACATGATTATGATACCCCATCGTTACATAGCGTTAGAGCGGCATAGGTACGGCGAACATCATAGACTTGATCTTTTAGCTGTTCATAGCAGTCATTATAGTTATATGAATGATAATATATACATTGTCTTGACTCATTTGTTTTCACCTTTGACCTGCTCCCACCTTTTAGCTTCTAGCCGCACAAAACCGAACCCTCACCTTTCTCCTCACAAGTAGCTGACCAAATAATTGGCGATCTCCCATAGCCTAGAGATCAACCTCACTAGTACCCCACAAGCCCACCGACTACCAAGTTGCCAAGTTGCCAAGTTGCCAACAACGCTCTACCGTATACCGAATCCAATATCCGTTGTTTCTTATTACGCTTTACGTCAAGATCAACTGCATGATGCATCTGACGTCTCCCTACTCCCGAACGAGTCCATGCATGCTGCGAAACCAGGTAAATGCCGTGCTAGTGGTGTGGCACACACTCGCTATGCAAGAGCCGCTCGGCATCTGCACGTCTAGCTACTTTAGGAGAAGAGAGACGAGTGCCTAGGAGCTATGTTGTTAGCTCAAGTGCACTAGGACTAGTGTCTGACTCCTTTTGAAGCTCCGATACAATAGTGTGTACCAGCTCGCTGGAAAGTCGTACGAGATCGGAGCACGGATTCTAGGGATTAAAAATGCTGGAAGCCTGGATAGGATAGCTCGGTAGTGTGCCGACGCTTAGACGGTAGTGTAGAGAGAGGGCTTATCTTATGCGAAGCGAAGTGAGACTAGACTGATGGCATTTGTAAATTGTAAAGCCGGATTTAGGATTTAGGCGAAGAGAGCGAAGAGGGATCTGCTTTTGGATGGGGAGTCGGGTAGATAAGGCTAAGATAGAGAGGTGAAGCTAGGTAAGTTGGTATGGATCATGGTTGGTGTTTGAAAAGATGGGATGGAACTAAAAATTGAGGAGGTGGTTAAGTACCGACGGATCAGGTGACACGGAGGCGGGGGAACTTTCTTTTTGTTGATGACAACATCGTCGAGGGGTGTCCGTTTATCATACATATCCTTGGGGAAAATGTGATGATATCGTTCTGAAACGGAAATTGCCCAACTAGACCTTTTTAAGCACTATAATCCCATAGAGTATAGAGAGGGGTTCTCTTAGAGTGATTTCATAACTTTGATTTTCTTCTATTAATCATACATTCAGAGCAGACATCAAAGTTGTCAATTTTGGCGGGGTTTTTTTGCTGACATTGCACTGTTTGATTTCGAAGCCTCGAATATGAGGCACACGACTGAGACTACTGAGATCCAGGCGGTGAGAATTAGTCTGGCAGAATGAATCTGTAGCTTCAGAATTTCTGATACTTTCAATGATTTGCGACAAGAGACTTGAATCTTTCTGCATATGACCTAGGGGCCTTTTTCTTGATCTGAAATGATGCGATGATAAACTCGCAACCAGAATGGAATTCCCTTCCAACTCTTCAACACAACTTACTGGATCCAATGGTGTGTACAACCTCCATATTCTCTTCATACGCTATCGAGACTAATTAAATACCAAAGGACCGGTCCACGCATTAACCTACTCATCTTCTCCCTCGAGCTATATCCTAACTGGCTCCGCAGATCGCAACATTCGACTATATAATCCTTCACGTCCCGCAGCTTCTTCCCAACATACCGCATCTCATCAACTCCCTAAACCTACCCAGTTAATACAAACATATTCTGCGCATGGCTATGAAGTCCTTTCCATAGCAGTCGCCTCAACAAATGCTTCATTCGCTTCATGTGGTGGTGATCGCAGTGTGTTTCTTTGGGATGTGCAAACCGCAAAGACGATTAGGAAGTTTGGTGGGAATAATGGACATACATCTCGGGTCAACAGTGTAGTGTTTGGAGGAAGCGAGGAGAGTTTATTGGTGAGTGGTGGATTTGATAGGAGTGTGAGGATATGGGACATTAGAGCGGGCAACATGAAACCAGTGATGATGATGGAGGATGCCAAGGATAGTGTTAGTGTCGTTTTGGCGGGAAAGGGGGGAGATGAGGGATCTGGGGTTGGGGAGTGGGAGATTGTCAGTGGGAGCGTGGATGGGAGGGTCAGGTGGTATGATATCAGGACGGGAACATTGGAGACTGACGTTATTGGGGGAAGTGTGACGAGTCTAATGAGGACGAGGGATGGGAGGGGTGTTCTGGTGGGGAGCTTGGATGGGTGTGTTAGGTTGATGGATAGGGAAGGTGGGGGATGTCTGAAGACTTATAAGGATGAGGGATTTAAGAACGAGGAGTACAGAGTCAGGAGTTGTTTTGGAGGCAATGAGAAGTGGGTGTTATCTGGAAACGAAAATGTGAAGGGACCAGACGGAGAAGTTGTAGTTTGGGAAAGCTTGACTGGAAATGTTCTGCATAGGATCAAGGTAGAGGGTTCGAACATTGAGGGAAAGAAAAAGATTGGTCGAGATGGCAAGGAGAAGGAAAGGACAAACGTCATCAGTGCCGTCGCCTGGAAGGAAAATGGGAAAGGGGATCAATGGTGTTGTGCTGGTAGCGACGGGGTAGTGACGGTTTTTGGGCCTTCATAAGCTCAGAATGTGGCGATCATAATGCGCCGATTCAACCCTTAGCAGTTTGCATTATTTGGGGGGCACTCGTCGATTGTTGCCCTCCAATATGTGCTCTGAATCGCAGCCGCCATCCTCAAGCCATCTTTCTTACACCGGAGAACCTGCACTAATTCTTTAGCAAGGCAATATACTTGGTCTGACAACAATTCATCAGCAGAAATAACCCGCAACCCACGGGTACCCGTGGATAATCCGCCCCGTGGGTTACCCATTAGAACTATTACCCATCCGTGGGTTATCCATTGGGATTTTAAACCAACCCGCCCTGCGGATAATAGTACTGTACTCATGCCGCCAGAAAGTCCGCAACTCGGGTAAGCTAGCACATGCCACATGGTGGTAAAACTACAGCAGGAATAGCCTAGTTTTTGACTTCCCGAGTTGCGGACGTTCTGGCGGCATGAGTATAGCTCATTTCATGCCCGTGACCCACTGGAAACAGATACCGTATACCTTTTTATTGTCAGCTAAAGCCATGGCCCCAGTCTTATTGACAGCGAAGTGCTGATGAACTGTGAGGCTATCATCTACAACACATTGGATGTGACATTTCACTGCATCAACAACCTCCGATGCATGCAAAACCGGCAGTCACGCAAAAGTGCTTTAGTGGCGGGATCATCCGAACTATCCGAACGATAAGCCATCTGCGGGGAACAACACTTTGATAACGACAACACATCTCAGGCCCGGGTGGGAAAATAATTACAGTACATATTCACATCAATTTCTTTTGTCAATAGATATCCATTAGTATTCTAGATACTATTTCCTACAATCCCTATTGTTTTTGGAGGCAACTGAAGTCTCGCATCTACATATGCCTTACCCAAACGTCTCTCATCTTCCAGGAGAAGATATATCTCACTCTACAGACTTCAAACCAGCAGCCATATCCCAGCCCCCTATCAATAGTATCCCTCCTGATCTCCTCCCTCGCTTCGACCCCGTCTTCGCCAAATATCATGCTCATTACTCGGCGGGAAGGCTGGCCACCCATCAAATCCCAATCAAGGAATATAGGGCTAATCCTCGCAAATATAACATCGTATACGGACGTGCCATTGCACCTGACGTACATTCGATCACTGATGTTCAATGTCCAGTTTCTCCTTCTGATGATGGGAAGAGTAGTATTACAGTGAGGATTTTTGAACCCGCTCCCAATATCAATGAGGGGAAACCTAGACCAGTATATATCAATTTTCATGGTGGTGGATGGGTTCTTGGGGGCTTGGAATCGGATATGGAGTTTTGTAAAAGATTGGTTGGAGAGTTGGGATGTGTCGTTTTTGACGTCGATTACAGGTTGGCACCGGAGTATCCATGGCCCATTCCGGTCAATGATTCCATTGATGCTTTTAGATGGATTGAATCGGGTGATATGGTCAGAAAGCGAAATCTAGATCGACAGAGATTTGCTGTTGGAGGTATGAGTGCGGGTGGTATGTTGGCTGCGGTTGTGAGCCATGTTTGTAAGGATGAAGGGATACCGCTGAGTTTTCAGTTGTTGGCGGTTCCGGTTGTGGATATGGACGGATATGGACCAGATGGAAAGTTGACGGAGAAGGGGTGGAAAAGATATGGAAGTTATCGAGATATGGAATTCACGGTACCGTTGCCAGTGGCAAGAATGGAATATTTTGCAGGACAGTTCTTTGGCGACCAGAGGGATCATACAACTTATAATGTAAGTCTTCATTGCTCCTTGACGATTCACACATTGACGAATGAGTGACAGAATTGGAAAGTCTCCCCCATGTTGGCAACCAACTTCAATGGTTTGGCGCCGGCTCTCATCATGACAGCAGAGATGGATCCACTCAGAGATGAAGGTGAAGCTTATGGGGAAAAGATGAATGCTGCAGGTTCCAAAGCCGAAGTTATTAGCATGAAGGGCATGCCTCGTAAGCACCATCCATCTTTAATTCCACTCTCCCCTCCATTTCCGCATTTGCACGTTTATTCATCTACTGTATCCTGTTCACTCCCCAATACAATTAGACCTCAGCATTCAGCACGAAACATCTTTCATGTTAGGCAATTACTGACCCCTCGGCATTCATAGATACTTTCATGATGATGGATGATATTCTCGCTGATGGTATGAGGTACAATCGGGAAGCAATTCGAGCTTTGGCTGCTGCTTGGGGGATCACTATCAAAAAGTAATAAGACGGGATTTGGGAAACTACAGATCCGGAGTTTGAAAGTATAATCAATTGCACATCATAACGAGCTTTTGCAGACATTAGAAGTCCCAAAGTAGAGGGCGATATATAGAGCAATTCGAACATAATAAATATAGTTATCATGCGTGCCAGCGAAGAAACTCGATAAAGTCCAAATCAAAAAAGTGTTAGACTCTTTCTAGCTAGAAAGGCGTGGATCAGGGCCTAGTGTTTGATAGCTAACATTTCGCATCTTGTCTTGGTAAAGTATTGGAGAAGTATAATTTAGAGATCGGGACAAACAATCCCGGTGAGCACTCCTTTTTTTTGCTGCTCCCGGTGAACTTTTCCGTATTTGATAACTCGGATTCTGATTCTGATTCTGAATAGGCAGCTCAATGGTTCGGCCGAGCAACGGAATAACAGGACGGTCTCCGGGAATGCTCCTTATCCTGATTGGCTAATCAGAACAGAGCTCTCCAGATCTTGGTTTGTTAACCCCTGTGGATTCACCGATACGTTATCAGTAAGCAATATTGCGATATCAAGTGCAAGTACCTAGGTAGAGCTTCAAAGTAAATTCTCTTTTCTTCATAGATTGAATCTTATTGTCTATCTTAAGTATTGCTTCTTATCATTTGTGAATATTTTCTCCTTCATAAACATAAAAAAATGAATATCTGTGGAATGGAAAACTATGAGCATCCTGTTGCTAGTGGTATGAAAGCAATGCCGCAACATCCAGGCCCCAAACCACCATTAGATTTAAGCCATCATTTTTCTCGAGCAACTGTTGCGCGACAAGAGAGTGCTGTGAAACAGTTCTATAAATTCTTTCAGATTCCCGGAATTGGAAATTTGGCTGGTGGTAAGTCTTGATACAATGTTAAGACGGCGTTCGCCACTTACAACGTTTCACCGCACTCCACCACACCAGCTCCTTCCTGCATGTCGACCAAAATGTTAATCAATTATTCCAGGTCTTCCCAATGCGTCATTCTTCCCATACGACACCCTAGAGGCACAAATTGCAGGCCCTGAAAGATTCACGCCTACTCCGAATGATCCAAATTCAGACGGGGAGCTTTCGCAAAAGCTCGCAGCGACATCAATCAAAAGGCCATCTGCAGAAGCTTCAAGACATCTAGTGATTCCTCATGCATCGGCAACTCCAAATCCTTTACAGAAGATTGATTTGACGACTGCTTTACAATATGGCCAGGCTCAAGGATATCCACCATTACATTCTTTTGTTCGTCAGTTTGCACTCGAAAACTTACATCCAAATATACCATACAAGGGCGGTGCTGAGATTATCTTAACATGTGGATCAACTGATGGATTCTCGAAGGCGATTGAGGCTTTGACTGATGTTTGGAGTGAGGAGAGAGATTGGATCCGAGAGAGGCCTGCCATACTTTGCGAAGAATTCGCCTATATGACTGCTGTTCAAGCATGTAGACCGAGTTAGTATACATGAAGCTCGAAACTGGAGGCATTTGACTAATCACTACTTTAGGGGGTATACAAGTTGTTCCGGTCAAGATCGATCTCCAGGGCATGGTACCGACGGGTCCTGGTGGTCTCGACGATGTACTTGAGAATTGGGACGAGTCGAAAGGTAGACGACCTCATATGATGTATACTATCACGTAAATGTGCCTGCCCTCTTTGTTGCCGACTTAGTACTAATCAAATAATAGGATTGGTCAAAACCCCACCAGTGGTACTATCTCTATTCAGAGACGCAAGGACCTTTACGCCATTTGCAGTAAATACGATGTCATGATAATTGAAGATGATCCATATTGGTGCCTTCAATTCCCATCTGCAGCAGGACTGCAAGCAGAAGCTCGCAATGAATCATTGCCAGAGCCAGAACCAGAACACATATTTCAAAAATCTACTGGCTACCCATATCTTGATAGTCTTGTTCCGTCATATCTAAACTTCGATCCCGACGGACGTGTTATTCGTCTCGATACATTTTCGAAGACAGTGGCTCCAGGATGCCGTCTAGGTTGGATCACTGCACAACCCGCTGTTGTGGAGCGTATGCTGCGAATTACGGAAAGCACCACTCAGCAACCATCTGGATTTGTTCAGGCAATGATCGCGGAGTTAATTATGGGGCCTCAAGCAGCCTCGGCTGAGTTTAGCAAGAAATCCAAAAGCGAACAGCTCGAATTCTCGGGTTGGAAAACCGACGGCTGGGTGCGTTGGTTGGAGGGCTTGAGAGGTTGTTACGAAAGACGTATGAACAGAATGTGCGAGGCCTTGGAAGATGGCCGATACTATGTCAAGCAAGGCATCTCTAAACAAGTCTCCGATTCCGAGTGGGCAGTCATCACCAAGACAAAAATGTTTTCTTTTGAGTGGCCACGCGGTGGAATGTTTGTTTGGATTCATATGCATTTCGAGACTCATCCTCTAGCCAAACAAGTACCGGGTTCCAAGCTCGCCCAGGTTCTCTGGATGTATCTAACCATGAAGCCCCATCTTGTTTTGGCCGCTCCGGGTCTAATCTTCAGTCCGACGCCCGAGATCGCGGAGGAAAAGGGTTGGCAATATTTCAGATTGTGTTTTGCGGCTGTGGAGGAAGAGGAGGTCGAGAAGAGTAGTCAGAGGTTTGCGGAGGGGGTGAAGGCCTTTTGGATGATTAAGAAGAAGGAGGATTTGGATGATATTGATGTGGAAGGTAATGCTGGGGCTATGGATGGTGAATTGAGGGATTTGGGTATGAACATGGCTTGTTAGATTACTGGATTCATGTTAAAAAGAAGAAGAAGATGATGATGATGACGATGACGATATAAAGGTTATTAGTTTCGAGACATGGCGAGACGTCTTTAGAATGGTTTTGGGAAATATGAACAAAGTATCATACATAATTTCACGGGAGTCAGTTGACTGGTGTTCGACGTGCTTACAGAGAGACTTTTGTGTAATTACAGAAATCACAGTGATGGATGGCGATGCCACCTGGGAACTTGAATAGGACTACTTCTCCAACCAACGTATCTCTTAAGCGAGAAGCATAGGGGATGCTTACTATGAGCGCCTAGAACGGGGCTAGGGCTATATTGAATTGTATATCTACGAGTAGATCAGTATTGCACATTCATGAGATCTACAACGACTTGTTTAGACGATATTTATGATGATTGAATAATCATTATGGCGTTGGATATATGTTATATATTATGAGACAGCGGTCAGCTTAGATCAGATGAGAATGTGAATATGCTTCGAGGAGGTATGGTTTGAAATTGAAATGGTTCGACTGTGTCCTAGTATTTTGTATCATATATTCATATTCATTTAATGCTCATTGTAATCTGTAATTGTTCATAGCTATCCTTTTTGGACGCCAGATCTGCACTTCTAATGTCGCCATGAAAATGCTCAAAATGCCCAACGCCAGTAGTCATGTCACCCATCAGATGTGCCAAACTAAAACTCATGCACTTGGTGCTGCTTCCGAAGTTCCCCTCTCCACTGCATCCACGACCTGTTTGGTAATGTCCTGGAATATTGGACATAGAGAGCAATCCCGATACTTCTCCACCAACAGCCCGTCGTCCCCAGCAGTGTCAGCACCGTTTTGGACACTACTCATATCTTTCCCATTAACCAGCGTTCCCTCGGGATATACTGGTTTTCTTCCCGCCTCTACCAGCATTCCAAATTGAGGATCAATGGGCACCCGTCCCAAGAACTGTACCCCAAAATCCTTGGCCATAACTTCTCCACCTCCTCTGTTGAATACATTCGTGCACTCCGAGCAATTCGGACACACAAATCCACTCATGTTCTCCACAACCCCAATGACATGTATCCCAGTCTTCATACAGAAGTTTAGTTCCTTCCTCACATCTGCTGTCGCCACGGCCTGCGGCGTCGTCACAATAACCGCACCTGCGACTTGACCCGGAAATGCATTCTTGAGAAGTGTTTCCGCCAACGAGATATGTTCATCCGAGGTACCAGGCGGGGTATCAATAAGTAAGTAATCGAGTTCGCCCCATAGAACATCCGTGAGGAATTGTCGAACCATCGCAGTTTTCTTTGGTCCACGCCATACAACTGCATCGCCTCGCTCTCGTAATAGGAAACCAAGAGACATGCATGATAGGGCGCCGATGGAAGAAGAGGGGTTGGAGGGGTGAACGGGAACGGGGATCCAGCCGCCGGGTGCTTGGGTTACTTTCGCAGATTCGAGGGAGAAGAGACGGGGGATCGAGGGTCCGGTTAAATCGATATCGAGGATTCCGACCGAGGAGCCGGCGAGAGATAGAGAGAGCGCAAGTTGGGTTGTGACGGAGGATTTTCCAACGCCTCCTTTGCCGGAGAGCACCTGTGGGGTTCTTTGTTAATTACTGATGAGCATTACATTACTATCGCATTGGGATACTTACGAGAACGATATGTTTCACTTTATCCAAAGACATCTTTGGAGATATAAGAGATTAATTAAAAATGGTAAAATATATTGTTCTGTTCATTGTCGCATGTCTTGAGATGTTACTCGTAGAACTACTAATAAAACTACATGGAAGATCTTCATTCTTATCGCTTATCAATCCGATGTTGCTAATCAATCAATCAATTACTGTTGATCCGCTGAAAACCCACTGATATTATTCATAACGCTAAGACTAAGACTTTAGTGTGCATTCTTAGGCTCCGGAGCGCCTACCGTAGTGTACGGGTACAGGTATTACAACAGATGAAATCAGATCGTTTGAACCCTGAATCCTTGAACCTTCAATTTAATAATGATACGAATAACTCGAAATTGCCCTTTCCTATTTAACATTGTCATATTATATATACGAGTAACGAATCTGCGGATTATGGTCGAAAGAGTATCAATATGAAAGAGGGTTTTCCGAGGGGACGTGAATGGATATGGACGATCCTTGGGGCTCACCGTGGGCCGACGAATTGAAAAATGACGATGGTTTAGGTATTCGAAGGATTGACAATGTAGCAGATAGAAATCAGGTTGAGAAGGCGAGTGAAGCTTTAAGGAATAACGTTAATACAACTTGGGGAAATTCGGACGATGGGTTTGGAGATTGGGAAGAGGATACTGGGGAAAAGAAAGGGGGCTTGGGTCTGGATGGCGCAGCAGAGCAATGGGATACACCGAAACGTGGAGGAGAGTTGGAGGTAGTGAAGGATGATGTTGGGGCATTATCGCCTGGTTGGAAAGAGTTTTCTACGAGTCCTGCGCGTGGAGCACCGAAGTTATCGCCGAGTCTCCTTGCGAAACCTGCTGCAATTGTACGAGAGCCCTCTCCGGATCCATGGGCGAATGCCGTCCCATCTAACGAATCTGCGACTGTGGTAGACAATTCTAGTCCGGAAGCTACGAGGTCGAGTCCGGAGCCTATCGAAGAGGCCACTGAAGAGAATTATCTCGAGGCATTCGAAGCGGTTGTCCCGCAAGCCGAGTCTCCCGGTGAAATGGAGGTCGAGCCAGTGGAATTCGCTTGGATCGAAACAGTTCCGGAGGTATCGACTGGTCTAGATGAGGATAGCGAGGAACCAAATGTAATTGGGTTGGGTATTTCAGCAGGAGAATCAGAGGTTGATATATACGCCGAAGATGCCGAGAAAGAACATCACAAAGCAGACGATGCTGTTTTACCATCAATACAAGAGCCCGAGCACGAATCGTCACGGCCTTCTTCTTCGCCGTCCGATGGAAGTAATCACGATGGACTCCTGCCAGAATCACAGCGGACGTCCTTAGACGAAGAACCTAAAAGTTCTCGAATTACAAGAGCGGTCCCGCCGAGGGTACAGGAACTCGTCGAACACTTCGATGGTTTAACGGAACCAGAAATTGAGCTTGCCGTGGGAAATGCCAGGGTAGAGGAGGAAGCTAATGATTCAAAGGAACCAGAGGATGAATATGCCGCGATAATAAAGCCTGAAAATCGGGAAGGTGACAAGGCAGAAGAGGATTCCAATGCTGGAGAGCCAGATGATGACGACTTTGGGGATTTCGGAGATTTTGAAGAGGGTATGTCGGATGATGGCGAAGAATTGGTAGAAAATCACGACTCGATTAAAACCTCTGTTTCTTCTGAATTGGCTACACCACAGAATGAACCTTCTGAAATACGATTACCGAAGAGGCCGTCAGGACCCGTTGAGTTTTCTGTCGATCTGACCGCAGTAAAAATGTTATTTGGAGAGATCGAGGAGAAGGATGACGAAGCTGTTGAGAAGATTTTCATACCCGATACTATCATTGCCGATACATTTGGATCTACCGAAGAACGAAAGATGTGGTACAGGATATCAAGGTACGGTACTATGCAAAAACACAATACTGGAGATGATGAGAACTATGTTCGGATCTCATGGGCAAAATCTCAAGTCAAGCAAGACACTCAGAAAATCGTAGGAAGGTGGATGGAAGAAGATCGAAACAGTGGACATGTTAGTCTTGGTGGTACAAGCAAAGGTGGTTCCCTTTTTGGCTGGAATGATCCAAATGCACCACCTGTTCCATTAGCGACGGTACTCGGTTCGAAACGAAAGAGTATCAAGCCTGAAGCGAAAGTAGCAGTCAAAGAACCAGTTGAAGTTCCAAGGGAGTGGCCGAAAGGGCTTGCACGAGACCGGTCGAGATCTAAGTCTCGTTCGTCATCGAAACCAAGAGAGCACAGCTCCACGAAGTCAGTGGAGTCAGGTACTAATGTCAAAGTACCCCTGCAGCCTCCTGTCGCACAATTTGGCTGGGCCTCCACACCAACAATGCAGATATCCTCCGATGCAGATAGTTTTCCCTCGACTACCGGCTCATTTACTAAGCCCCCGCCCCTCCACATGAACTCTAATTTTGAACAATCACGGGAATCAAGCTCTGCATTACGCAGCCCAGCACTTATGTCTCCAATCGAGTCACCTCCAAGCTTTCTCCAAGCGATGAAGAAATCCAGACCGGTCTCAATGCCACCACCATCTACAAATAGTTCGAACCGCTTATCTGCCAATTTAGCAGTCGTGATCAACAATTTGAATGATGGCGACGATGATGATGAGTGGGGCGAAATGGTCTCCTCACCTGTTGTTACTGAAGCTCCCAAATTTCCCACCCAGGGATTGCGGCATAAGAAGTCGATGAGCCTTGGAACTTCGCTCACCAACTATGTCACTCTTCCAAATCCTCAGGTTACGAAACTCCAATCAGGGTTCGGCCACAAATCAACATCAAGTCTAGACAATACTCATGGAAACCCTAAAAGCCCTATAATCTCACAGTCTACACTATTATCCGATACTACCATCCCATCTCCTATATCTCCAAATCCGTCGTTTGCAGATTTGTGGTCTACACCAGCAATTACTTCAGTGCCAATACAGTCAACTGCAAATCCTCCTCCATCACCAGCATTATCAGCAACGTCCATCGCAAACACTTCCTCTCAACCTGTCTCTCCCTTGCCCTCAAACACAATCTTCACAGATACTTGGTCTCAGCCACCTCCTAGCACCTCTTCCGCCTTAACCTCATCACCTCCAACTACCTGGTCCCAACCTCCCATCCTCTCAATTCCACTTGCATCAACCAGCACTCATGATCCATGGGCATCAGCAGATTTCTCCTTCTTTGACGCACCAGCCCCTGCGCCAGCCCCTACACCCACGTTATTACCCAGAAGAACCACAACACAAAGACCACAATCCTATCCCGCTCTCCCGAAACTAAAAACCGTTACTTTCTCCACTCCTCCACCTAAGTTAACACCTCCGCTTCCAGCCTCTGTCTCTACAAGTCATGATTCGAGAACTGTGTTTGAAATGGGTCAACATGAGATTGTGAAGAAAATCGTGGGAAATTTGCCGGATTTGGGATATATGTTCAGACGGTGAAACCCACTGCCGTGGCACGACTCGCTCTCAGCAGAAAGAGGATAAGAAGCTTTGGAATTGGAAGGGTGTATGATGATAAGATAGAGGAGGAAATTGAAGACATGGGATTCGGGAGAGATGTTTGTATAACAAAAACAACGGAACCCATATAAAGTATATAACTAAAAAGTACTGGGTCGATAGATAAGGAGTGATAGGTAGGGTTGGTTTACATATTCGGGAGTTATGGATGAGGGGTTTTGGGGGGGGGGGGGGG